GTGGCACTTTATCCTTCCTCCATCAGAACACTGCCCTTGCTTAAACAAATTGTGAGTCTTCTCTGCTATAGTATAAACTGCACAAGGGAAGGGACCACATGTTTTGTTCAGTATTGTATTTCAAGTACCTGGCACGCAATAGATACTTATTAAATATTTAATGAATTAGTACATAGACAGTAAAATTGGTCATTTGTTTAAGTTTAGGAAAGCCAAATGCAAGAAACAAAACCAGAGATGTATTCCCTCCATCTCTTTCATTCACTCTAGTGAGGAAGCCTCAGGAGTGAAAAGAACACAGTGTAGCAATTGGCTGGTGGCTAAAACCTAGCTCAGATATTTACCAGTATTGGGACTTTGGGTAAGTTACTTAACCTCTCTGAAACTCATTTCCTCTTCTGTAAAGTAAGTATAATAAAGCCCACCGTGTAGGGTTGTCTTAAGAATTTATAAACATATAAAACACCCAACATATATAGCAATCTGTAAACAATTATAATCATTATTTATTCATTAAACGTTTACGTGCCTGTTAATGAGCACTGAGGATACAAAGATAAATAAACCAAAATCCTCCCTCAAGACCTCAGTCTTATAAGTAATATGGCAAATGCAGTAACAGAGACAATCAAAAAGAATTACAAGAGCAATTCAGCTGGAGTGAGGGGTACAATCAAAACAGAAGGGAGCATATGATTAGAACACAAGGTCTAAACACTATGGCTTGTGGGGGTGACCACAAGTGGTTGGCTTCCCATTTAACACAAAGACTCCAACTTACTACAATGGCTGATGAGAACCCATCTAAGAGAGCACTCACACACCCTATTTTCTCTCTGACCTCATCTGCTACTACTCCCTCTGCTCTCTCTTCTTGATGTGCTAAGCACACTCCTACCTTAGGACTTTGCACTGGCTGTTCCCTCCACCTAGATTTTCTTCCTCTGTTTATTCATGTAGCTGCCTTACCTCCTTTCTTGTTTGCTCCAATGTTACCTTTTCAATAGACAACCTTCATCAGACGATCTAAAATTAGACTCTCCACCCAGATCCTATAAAATGTGCTAATTTGTGTTGTTTACTGACACCACCCATCCCTTTCCATATAAGCTCTATGAAGGCAAAGCTATGAGTTTTGTTTCCCAAGGTATGCTGAGTGCCTAGGACAGTGGCTGGCACTTAGCACTGTCAAACAAATGAATGAATGAAGTGTAGTTGGAATGTGAAGTCAGGTCAGGAAGGGGAGAGAAGCAAAGCTAGAGAGATGTACAGAGGCTTTGAATGCTGTGGTGAAGAGCTTAGATTTTTATCTGATAAGGAAGGGGAAGCCATTAAAGGTGAATGGCATGTTCAGATCTGCTTTTTAGATAAGTCACTCAGGGAAAGGGTTTGAAGGGAATGATAAGGATTTGAAGGCAGAACTTCACAGTTAAGAGGCTGCAGCAGCAAGTAAGCTAGAGAGCAAGACAAGAAAGGCCTAAACCAAAAGAACGGAAATAAGAAAGGAAGGGAGGGGACATATCTGAGGTATAATTAGGAGGTGAAGTCAAGCAGGACTTGATAATTGACTTCAAATGGAAGGAGATAGAAAGAGAAAATGATAGAAAGAAATAGAAGATGCTACAGAAAACCTGAGTAGGTTTGGAGAACGGGTAACTGGGAGGTTGAACTACGTGAGGTCTAGAATATGGAGACGGAGAGGGGCATGAAGGGATGAATTCAGCTCCATATAAACCCATAAACAGCAGATCCAGTGTCATTTGTGGAAGAGGAAATTTGGAGCTCCGGATGGAGGTTTAGACCAGAGATATTCTTGCTACCTAGTGATAATTACATTAATTTTAAAAGGAAAACTAATTTCAAACGTCCAAATTGACTTCCCCAAAGAGCAGAAATTAAAATGCAGCAACATTTCTTGTAAGATTTTATATATGTGTGTGATTTCCCCCCAGAGAGAATTAAAAAAAAAAAAAGTTTTTTTTTCCATTATTTAATTGATTCTTACTCCAGACTTCACTTTTTGTTAGGAGATTTTCAGCTAAACTCTCCAGAGAAAATAATAATCTCTCCCCACCCCCCACAAAAAAGTGACCATGTTGGGTTGTGAAATAACTAGTGGTAAAGTACAAAGAATATACCCTTTCATTTTGTAAAAGTATAAGGGGGAAGTTAAAGAAATTCAAAGGCAATATTATATATTCAAAACAAATTTGAGGAAATACTTTCAAAATGACATATAATTAGTTAGTGGAAGTTACTATCACAAGATAGGATTGAAGCAAATTGCTTTATGAGCTTTCCCTTCTCCCTAATCAAACCTCTATATAAATATAAAGCATGGAAGAATGGACAACACTGTATTGTCACTTAAAATTACAGGTAGGAAGAAGCGTACATTGTTTGACTGCAATAATAATAATAATAATAATAATAATAATAATAATAATAATAATGTAGCACCAGCCACAGTGCTAGGCAGTTGTCCAAGCCTTACCTGGTTTGCTCTTGACTTTTAAAAGGAACGGATGATAAAACAAAAAACAGGGCTTAGGCAAATGAGCAACTTGCTAAAGGTCACTTTGCTATCAAGTGATGCAGACATATTTTAAGGGAAGGGAAATTTTTTTTTTTTTTTTTTTTTTTAGAAATCCAATTACTGTAGCAACTTGCCCTGACCTGATGGGCACTATGCGGGCCCAGTATGTGAGACCGTCTGACTGGTTCACAGATTGCTGCTATACCCAGAACCTAGCAGCCCGGGCATTTGGAAATATGTAATATGCATAGTAATTTATTTTTTTTAATAAATAAAGACCAAAGGAATGGGCCATTAGTTGATCTGAGGACAGTCTCCACAGTGTTAGTAAAAACTGTTTTCAATATCCTGAAATACTTTCTTTCTAAAGGTGGACTTATTATTTAGAACTACCGGAGAATGTTTTAAACCCAATAGACAGTAACTAACCATGATAACAATCAGTGAGCGTAGAAGGCAGGTGCCCATTAGCTGGGCCTAGGTTTCACCGACTCACTAGCTCATCCCCCAGTTAGCACAGAGCCCTCTCTTTAACACTTGTGCTGAACTGATTCCAGTCAAGTTACCACGGATTGGAGATGACACGGAAGCCGTCGTCAGTTTTTTCAAACTAGCGCAGTTCCCTAGGTTGCACAACGAGCTAGTTTTGGTGGCCCTTTACCTAAGCTAACGTAATAAACTACGTAGAAGACTTCCCTCCTCGAAGCCAAATGACCAACTCAATGCTGAGAAGATGATGCGCCGACTGCTTTCTACTTTTGATAGCGATTCTAGCTGTTCTTGTAAATCTCAACGTTTTGTGGCTCTGCAAACACAGTTCCACCCTTGTAAAGCGGGAAACGCCTGTTTCCCAGGCCCTGTCCGGAATTCCCGACGAGCAGCCCCCCACCATAATCAAGTGCAACACTTATTTCTTTAGAATGCCTCTTTTTGTTCCTCAAAATCCTGAAGGAAAAAAAAAGAAAAACCCACGCCACCGCTCGGCTGTGAATCCCCAGCGCAAAAAGTGAAAGTGGGCGCGGGGCCCGGCCGCCGCTGCGGGGCGCGCGCCAGGGATGGGGGCGGGTCCCCAGGATGTGGCGCGCGTCACGTGACCCGAGGCAGCCCAATCCGAGCCGTGCCGCGCCGAGCGCGCCGCGACTGGGTCTGGGAAGCACTTCTCTGTCAATCAAAGTTGTCATTTGGGCTAATGCCGCTTAAATGCAAAGTAAAAAGGGCTTTTCACCTCCTTTCGCTAAATGTCGCCCCTGCCTGCAGACATCCAGAGTCACACATCCCTCCCTAGGGACTCCTGGGCACTGTGCAAAATCACTTTCATCAGCCGCTACCTACTTAATGGGCGGGAAAGAGCATTTCCTCTTAGGTGTGTTTCCAGGTGGGCTCGGGAGAGGTCGGGGCCTGTAGTCTCCTGCTAGTTTGCTGGGGAGGGAGCGAGGACCGTTTGCCTCCTTTCTCCAAAGCCAAAGTGCAAAGTGATGGTTAGAGGAAGTCTGAAGCGTTGGGGGCCCAAAGTGCGACCGGCGGAGCCCGGCTATCCCCACCTTTCCCACTTAGACAGAGGGGACCCGTGAACCCCTGAAAACAGGGCACATAGATGCAGACGTCAGCTCTTCTCTTTTACAATATTTCAAATGACTCTAAGTCTTTCCCCCCTTGAGTCTTAATGTTTAATTCAGTATCTTAAACAATTTAAAAGACCCGAGTTCCTACGTTACACAAAGTTTCTGCTCTTTCACAGACTTCTGGGAGGCTTAACAGTAGCTCCTCGGTTTTTACCCCCAATATCCACCGCGAAACAAAAGCTAGCTTTCCTAAACTCAGTAACAATAGAACTGGTTTAATCCACCTCTAGGTTGGCAACCCCCACCCCAAAGCCCTCCTTCACTCTCCAACCTGCCCCTAGGTATGTTTGTGTAATCAGAGACTGATTGTAGCTGCCTCGCCGTTTCTCCCCGGGAAAGCTTAGTTTGCATTCATTGAAGTTGCTTGTGTTTTAGGTTCACGTAGGCGAGCAGAGAAGATGCCACTCGGGAAAGAGCTGGGTTTCCTGCTGGACGTCTTCAGGAGCGGGCTGAGCTGCGCAGGTGTGCGGGTTACGATGGCAATGAGGAGGGTGACGTTGGAAGGTCTTTAAAACGTTAAGTTTGCTATTTGGGGAAATAAATTTTCAGAGAATCAACACTACGGTGGCAAAAAAAAAAAATGGGGAGGGAGGCTAGGATTTTAGTGAAGAGATCAAGACCAGGGTTAGGGATAGTAAGAAGAGTGGTGATTTGGTGCTCTGCTATTGCTTAAACTGTAAACACTGGCAATGCTGATAGTTATCTCTCCGGCAGTAATTATTCGGTATATTAAAACCGGGGAGAAAGAGGGACGTTAGGACTGGTCATTACGGTTTGTTTGAAGGATAGAATTGCGTGTCACCGACTTGTAAGGGTAAATGAAACGCAGACTCGGATACACCTTATTTTTGGAATGTTAGCTTTATATATTCTCGTAATTCATGAAATGTGAAGGGGACGCAAGGGTGTCTATGTTGGCTGAACAAGGGCAGGAGCATTTATGACTCTCCAGTCACGTAAAAGCTGCGCTCAAAGTTTTAAAAAGCGCTGGGACTGTAGCGAGGGAGGCGAGGGGCGGGAGCGGCTCTGGAGATGCGCCGCTCAGCTGGCCGGTGGGGGACGTCTTTAGGAGTACACGGTCCACTGGAGACGCCGTGGGAGGCCAGGGGGTCGAGGTAAGAGGCCGCTACGGGGGGTCCGGCTCCAGACAGGCTCTCTCCCACCCAAGGTCACTGTTGAAGAAGCAATTCCAACAGCGAATGCCACCGAGGTCTGCGTGCATGCAACTGACGGCTCTCGATTGGACTCCATTAGCCTAAATTGCGTAATTAAAGGAAAAAAAAAAAAACACCAACAACTCTGCTCTGGCGCTTCCGCTGGAAGGCTAGCGGGGACGCGTGACAGAGCGAAGATAGCTTCTCCATTACGCACCTTTTCCTCCGAGCTCCTTTATGTAAAGTCACCCTTAAAAAGGGGGGAGGGGGGAGGAAAATTATCAAAATGTTATGTTCTTTTGGACAAGAGGAGAAGAAAAGAATTGGGGGTCCTGACATCAGGTCGAGGGGATTCTCGAAATAGGTTTAGAACTCGTCATTGTGTCTTAAGGTCCGCTGGGTTCCAGAAGGGGCTCATGCAGGGCAAGCTTCCTGGGAAATCTTTTCTCCAACGCTCCTGCGGTCACAAGCACCGTCCTGCTCGTAACTGCCTAATCGCAGCTTTCTCTGAGCAGCCCTGGCGGCACGGGCAGCCGGGGGTAGGAGCTGTAAGACAACCTCCGCGAGCGGGGCTGCGGACGCGGCCCGCAGGGCGCAGGGCTGGCGGCAAGCGAGCCCCGGGGAGTCCGGGTCGCGCCGTCCGCCCCAGTCGGGTGCCAGTGGACGCGTCGCAGAAGCCTCTGCAGACCTTGGAGCATCCCGAAGGCTTGCGCTTTTTTTGGCCCGGAGAGAGGAGGGCCCCTTGTCGAGAGGATTAGAGTGCGCTTCTTTTCCCGCCTAGCACACTGCTTAACTCCTGGCAGACGCGCACTTCCCCTCCCAGGTTTTGAAAACCAGAGAGATGACTCAAACTCGAAAGCGGCGGAATGGCCATCTGAGCTCCTCGCACAGTCTCATCCTCTTTCCTCCCACCTCCCTGCCCCACCTTCTTTCAGGTCCTTGGTTCCCGGCTATATAGGTTAGGTTTGGGCGGAAGAGGGTCTGGGCAGGTGCCATCTGAGGGTACTTACCTGGTGTTGTCAAGTTCTCCTTGGGGTCAGGGAGCCACGAACTGCCTCTCCCCCACCCCGATCACCTGGCTGAACTTATTAACTGGCGGTCTCGGCGCTCCTGGGGACGATCCCGTAGGGTTTTTGTTTCCTTTTTCCTTTTCTTTTCTAGCGGAGCCTTGGGGGGGGGGGGGGGATTATTTTTTTTTTTAAGTTTTAAACATTTTGATGTATATAGAAACGAAAAACAAAATTTCAAAACGGGAGGAGGGACCAAAAGGAGAAAGTCTGACTTGGAGTTGTTCTTAGCAGTCTGCTGAAACCACACCACTGTGCAGGATAGAGAGGAAGAACGTTTGAAGGGAATTGGTTAAGTAAAACCTTTAGCTGTAACGTTATAAGAAAGACACAAGTGGGGGAAATAATAAAATGCACAGTAGATACACCATGCAGATGATTTGGGAAGCTCTGCTCCCACTGAAAGCCCGGCGGAGAAAAATTATTTGCTTATTCTCACAGTATTACATTTCCCTTTGAATTAAACTATTTTTCCTTCCCATCAGCCAGCTAGACTCGGTTTCTTAATTAGGAAGCACAATGAAGTTTCTCACAGATGTAGTCAGCCACAGACTCTGATCCAAAATAATAAGTATAATTAATTTTAGAGGACATCTTTAGTTTATAAGGCCTGAAATTAAAATATGATGTTTTTTAACATTGTGGTACAAAAACACAAGGAAACATATTTGCTTCACAGTCTTATAGTGACACCATTTCCTTCCTCTGTGTTGAAAAAGGCTTTCAGTCTGATATGGCCCCCATCCTCTCTCACTCCAATGCCTCTTTACTCAAACTCGATTTCTTTCTAATCAAAAAATATCTTAGGAAATTCTACTTTAAAAATATTTCCTGATTTTAAAAAGTCAGCAAGACAGGTTGAAATCATTTAAATACCACATTGTCTTGGACAGATCACACAAATCTTTTTCTTATAATCTCAGTCTTATAAAGAATATACTTAAGCAGCTGTTCATTTAAATACAGTTTTTAAATATGCATAATTTAACCTGAATAAATATTGCTAAACTTCTGGTGCACTGAAATATAAGCACAAAGGTCAACTTCTCTATAATAGCTGTCAAATAGTCTCTGGTTCTGCTTGGTGAAGTGAAAGTTATTTAGTGATTGATCATTTCTAAATTGAATACACAACATCAAGACAAATTATTAAGTCAGAAGTCCAAATATACCCAGTTCCTAATTCTTATGGTATCATGACTTTTAAGTTCTCTATGGTAGATTAAAATTTTGTTATTGTAAAGCACTGGAAAGAAGTGTAAACTTAACATGTTTTCTATAGCATTCAACTACTCCACTGACAAAAACCAAAAACAAAACCTATATGGTATGGACTGGATTTTGATGTATGCGATGATTTCGAAATTTGGTTTTGAACAAACTTCAGCCTCTGTGCAAGAATAACTTACCTTTTAGTAGATCTTTATGGCTATTTTAAATAAAAGTTTTTAAAAAGTAAACACGAAGAGGGAATATTACAACATGAAGTCTATCTTCTTGGGAGTCTGTACCCATTAGAGTCTTTGGGCTCATAAGTACATTTTGTTTCATAGTGATAACATCTCTAACGGGCACTTAGGGCTGATAATATCATCTTCTTTCGACAGAGAGGGGACTAGACGCCTCTGCTTCTGACACAAATTAAATGCTGTTTCTGTTAAATAGGCTGTCTCTTGGGTTGGAGTCACATCAGGATTTTGGGTTGCCACATTCAAGTAACTAAGAAAACAAACGCTGGCCTTGCCAATGCTGCTCCTAATTTCTCTGGCTCTTTGATGACTCTGTGGTCCCATCTCTTACCTGCATTGTGCTATACGTTCTCATTATACATATGTAGATTACTGCAGAGTTCTAAGCAGTAAAAATCTTCTTGATGGACAATCTAATTTAAATGACAAATGTGTACTGAACACATACCATAAGGGGTAAGGTAAGAAGAGGAAAATGAGGAACCCAGTCTTTACAAATAAAAATGCCTCACAAATAAACGTAAGGTACTGGGATGGGTCACATTACTTTCTTGGCAAATTATTTTAATAGCAGTATTTAAAATTTTGTACCAAGTAACTTCTAACCGTCTAAATGTGAGTTTTGTCATATATCATAGAAAGCCTTAAAGTGTGGGCCAGGATTACATATGTTTAAAAATCATTTCTGTCAGTTTATTCTCTCTCTTTTTAATATTAGGTTATTTGCTTAATTGTCAGTATAATTTTAATCCTTTCTAAACAAAATTACTTATTTGCTCTTTGCAGCTAATGACATTTCTTGATTGAACTTGATTAAGAGTCTCATCCTATTTGGGAAACTGTCTAGTCTTGCCTCCTTAACTGGTTATAGGATATGATACTGCATTTAGGACTAAAGGTTCCCTAAGTACCACTGTCAATCCACTTAGAAGCCTTTTTTAATGGAAGTACGTTGGAGAGGTTGTCCTTAGAAAGCTTGTCCTCTTAGATTCACAAAAGGGATTTTGAAGTATTTCTTTACTATTGGAAATTATAAAATAATTCAAGGCAGTACGCATTATTGGACAATACTGGAAAATAAAAGGAGAGGTCTCTGGGCTTTGTAATGTGTATCTAGAGGAGAGCTTCCAGAATATGTAAAAAAAAAAAAAAAAAAAAAAAAAAAAAGGGACCCATACTGTCTAATTCAGTAGTACTTCATTGTTCTGCAGTTAAATGTGTTGGTTTCTTGCCCTTTAGAAATGTACCTTAATTCCAAGGAGATTTTTCTTTCAAGATTTTAGCCACTTTTGCTCCTTTAAATAGTTCTGTAAACAAAGTTGCTTGTGTAAGCAATAGAAGGCTTTGTACACCAAGTGGAATGTCTTTCAACAGTTGCCTGGGTAAAATACGTATGGGGTTTTCCCTAATGAAATTTTAAATATGGTTCTATGAACTCTAATACAATCTGTGGATAGTATATGAACAAAAGCATGTGTGTTAAACATTACCACTGAAGAAGAAAAATATTTTCTTTTGACTGGAAAACTTTAAACTTTAGTAATGGTGAGGATCATTGCTTTACAGAAAAGATCACTGCATGTAGTATTTACTCACATCTGACAATGAAAGTCAGTGTTTTGTAACTAATTTACTTAGTAAAATGGTACTGTATACTCAACCAGAATTAAAAAGTAAACTGGTTGTTAGAGTTTAGAAATACTCTATGAGAAAACTATATGCTTTGGTTGATTTCTATTTTACATTAACATATGTAATTATATACCCAAAGAGTTTGAATATATTAATGTTAAGCATTTTCATTGCAAATTTAATTTGCATCTGGTTGTGGTTTTCTAACAAGTTTGTTATTGCAGATTAACATTGCTGCCTCTCACAGCATTTCACACTTGAAATATCTGTGAATTGTGTTTTGGGTCCATCAAACTGGAAGTGTGTGGTTAGATATTAACCCTTTCTTCATTTTTTAAATTAAAAGTGTTCTTTCAATATAAGAGAAGAGACATACTTAAAGAAATAGAAAACTTTTATTCGATGATATTTTCTGTTTCAAAAATAAATTAACCTAAAAAGGCAACATTTTGGTTGGTAAGACATTGAGACTGTTAACAAATCCGTGAGTCAAATGGATACGCAGAGCAGTTTCCTTCTGTACTTTCGACAGTTAGTTTGATTTCATTTAGATTTTTGACCTCTCCTAGGATTACCGCTTCATAAGTCAAACTCAGGGAAACCAATCCACCTAGTTTAAAATAAAATGACGTTAATTCCAAATTTTTCTAAGAACTTCATTCCTTCTCACATCTTTTCTTTGTCAGCCCCAGGACTGTTAGCCAATGCTCATTGAAAGGAAATTTTTATCATTTATGGCTGGCAGTATCTATTTCTCTTTACTGGGTTATAACAAATCAACCTGGCTACAGTTTTGCATTGGGATTTTTTTTTAATTTTTTTTTCAACGTTTATTTTTTATTTTTGGGACAGAGATAGACAGAGCATGAGCGGGGGAGGGGCAGAGAGAGAGGGAGACACAGAATCGGAAACAGGCTCCAGGCTCTGAGCCATCAGCACAGAGCCCGACGCGGGGCTCGAACTCACGGACTGCGAGATCGTGACCTGGCTGAAGTCGGACGCTTAACCGACTGCGCCACCCAGGCGCCCCTGCATTGGGATTTTTTAAAAGATAATACACACGTACTTTTTCATCCAAATTTAGAAATTACATTTGATCAATTAGAACAAAATTTGTAGACAAAGTTGATACCATAATGCTTTTGTTTGCATTAAACTAGAGCAAGACCCCAGCATCCAGAAAGTTTCTGGTCAGTGATAAAGTAGAGCACTGTACCTTGGAACCAGAGAAAATTGATGTCCCAAGTATACAGCAGACCCAAGGCCCTTCCAAACACTTCCCCATTTGGAATTTTCTCCTCTGGTCTCTCTTCCCAGCTCTGCTCATGAAGGTACTGTCTGTTCCTGACAGTCCCATGTAGACTTGATTCCTAGGGAATCTTTTGTTTAGCCGATAGCAATCCTTCTGTGGACTTTATTACTGGTGTTGGCCCTTCTGTTATTTGCCTAGCATTCGGTTCTCTCAAGCTTGAGTGCCATTGTGTAATAGATTCAAGTATACCAAAGCAGGTCTCCAAACCTCTGGCCTCATGTAATATGGCTCAGCTAAGGGCCTTCAGTGCAGTAGCAACAACTTTTATAACCTTTGGAGTTACTTAATTGCAATGCTTTGGTTCCCCTATTGGTTAAATATGGAGAGTTGAAATGAAATTATATTTGAAAAATGTCCAGCTTAAATCTAAGAGTTTCAGAGTATTTTCAGAGTACAGTATTTTGTTTTCACTGATGTCATTTTTAAGGTAAAGTAAAATATGTGACCTCCTTCACTTACATATTTCCACTGTACCAAAAAACAGAGAGAATAATATAACCAACACCTATCTCCAGTGTACTTCTCTCTGTGTACCTGTCTCCAAGACACATCAAAGCTGTCTTTGCTTCAGCTTTTAAAAATCTATGTTTTTATGTTAAAACTTCCTACCCTTCCATCTCTTTCTTTTTCCTCCCTCCATAACCAAGGTTATTCCCATGCACGAGTTTTAGACTTACTACATTTGTATGTATTCATAGTATTGCTTTGCTTATTTAAAAATCTGTCATAAATAGCATCATTTTTTTTTTTTTTAAAGTAAGCTCCATGTCCAATGTTGGGCTTCACTTCACAACCTGGAGATCAAGAGTCACATGCTCTACTGACTGAGTCAGCCAGGCACCCTGTATGTATTCTTTTTAACGAAAACTTTATGGGTTTTTTGAGATTTAGTCACACTAATATATGTTGCTTTGGTCCATTCCATTCCTTTGGTCCAATACTACAATGCTGTAGTATTCCATTAATGGATATACCATCACGAACTTCCTTTTTTTTATAATATTTGCTATTTCAAGTGATGTGCTGTGAAATCCTCATACATGTCTCCTTGTGCACAAGCTGTCTCTCTTGAGTACTGCATGGAATTGGAGTTGTGAGATCATAGCTATGCCTATTTCCAGCTTTAATAAATATCACTAAATTGCTCTTTTAAATGGTTGCCGCAATTTACACAGGTACTAGCAGTATGTGAGAGTCTCTGTTGCAACTGTATTATCACCAACACTTGATATAGTCAGACTTTCAGATATTTTCCCACTTCACCTGGGTATAAAGTGGGGACTCGTTATTTTAAATTAGATTTCCCTGGGGCTCCTGGGTGACTCGTGGGTTAAGATTCCGACTTTGGCTCAGGTCATGATCTCATGGTTTGTGAATTCTAGCCCACATTGGGCTCTGTGCTGGCAGCTCAGAGCCTGGAGCCTGCTTGGGATTCTATGTCTCCCCCTCTCATGCTCATGCTCTGTTTCTCTCTGTCTCTCAATAATAAACAAATGTTAAAAAAAAAAAATTAAATTAGATTTCCCTAACAGCTAGTGAGACTGAACATCTTTTCACTGTTAAATGTCTGACTTTCCTTTTGCTATGAATTGCGTGTTCTTATATTTTGCTTGTTTTTTATTTGGAGTGGCTTGTTTTTCTTACTGATTTATCATTCTTTTTTATTCTGAGTTCTAATTCCTTATTGGTTATGTTTGCTGTAAAAATATTTTCCTGATCTGTGGCTTCGCCAGGCATTGTTTATGGCACCTTTAAAAATGTG